TCGTATATCCAAAATGATTTGAGATCATCGATTGCGTTTTCTTTTGTTGCATCGCAACTGCTGACAATATCATCGGCGAGGTGATCGATGATTTGTTGGTAAGAGATTTTTTTTGTTGTTTTTGAGAGTTCGGAGATTGCTATTTTGGATATTAAAAGAGTGTCAATGCTATTTGTGAATAAATCAGAACTAGATACACACCTTTTTCAACCAAGCTGTGTTCTGTCATATTGGGTTCGACCCTGTCGTTGTCGATGAAGTTGCAATGGAAATACCAACAAAATAAACGTTAACAATAGTTTTTAGATGTATTTATGAGAGGTTCATGCTAGTTATATTGAAACTCCTCGGTATACCTACTTTTTGCTTTGATAATAAAACTTCAAAAACCATAGGAAGTAACAAGACATAATATTTTGCGCGAAGGGAAGAAGGAAAGAAAAGGGGAAAAAAATTTATTACTATCAGTGGCTAAATGAGTGAAAATTTTTCTTAGCTATTCCATTCTTGGGAGGTCGATCCACAGTTTTCCTTTTGCCCTTTTCGAAGAAACGCCATTTTATTGTTGGATTTAACCCAAAAGTTCACAAAAATGTGTAAGTAAATAATAGTACCATGACACCATTATAATTAATTTAATAGATTGATGTTACGATTGATATGATATTCATAAAAGTAGCATCCTTTAATCTTAACTCCATATGAAATAGTTATTAAGCTTCTTTTTACAATCTTTCTATTTAATACTAAACCCTTTAATCTGGCATACTCTAAATCACATTCCTCTATTTTCTTAATTTCTTCATTAATAGGATTTAACATTAAACTATAAAGATCATTAAGATCATCTTTCATATCAGATTCAACTAAATTAACTTTACTAGCTAGATCAAAATCAGAAATCATTGCAGCTAAATGTTGTACACCATTACATATTGCATCTAAATAAATTGGTAAACTAGAAATAAAGTTTAATGGATCCTTATTATAACCTTGTAACTCAAAACAAAAAGCTAAAAATAACATAGGTTCATTAGCTTTTCTCCATAATCCTGAATTTAAATTTAAGATTTTTGAAAAATGTTGATCAACCCATTCTAATCTTTTGGTAATAGATAATTTATTTAATTCAAAAGCATTTGCTCTATAAACCTTTAATGAATTTAATCCATTTTCAGATAATACATTACCTTTTTTGAATAACAATAATGATCTTGCTAATTCACCACCTTGGAAATTTAATTCACCCCCTTGGCAATAAACTCTTCCTCTCTAGTCTAAAAAGAAAGTAAAATAAAATTGTTCAACATCTCTATAAAGTTTAGCAATAGTTAAAATTGAATTATTATATAAGAATTTACTATTATAAGATGTAATTTCAAATTCTTTTTCTTTATTATTCTTTTTAATAATCTCACTCATTTCATCTGTCTCCTTATGTAATGTTCTAATAATTAAATCATCATTAAGTGGCAGATTCATTAAAAGATCTAATACTTTAAGATTAATATTGAAACCAATAGATGACATATAATTAACCATTTTAATTGTCATTTTATTTATAAATTTAATATTTGACTCAGTAAACCTTTTACTTCTAATTAAAGGATTAAAATTCTTAATATTATTAGTAATATATCCACTATATATCTTAAATTCTTTGTTATCATTTATTCCCAATAAATAGGTGGATATACTATAGGTAATTCATGACCATCAATCATACCTAAATATTTAATATAGTTTTTCAATTGGTAACTAGGAATAATTTCTCTATGAGTTTTTTTACTTTTAACATCATATCGTTCTAAGATATTAAAAAGATCACTTTTCATATCCAAATAACTAATAATAGTACCACCAATATTAATAAAATTCTCTTCATTCATTGTAAAATTTTCAAATATAAATTAAAAGTTACAATATCCTTAGATTTATCATCAACTTCTTTAATATATTTTTGATATAAACATTCTTTATATAAAGTTTTTCCTAATCTATGAAGTAAAGTAGTAACTGATTGTTCTTTATTATCTTCATATTTCATAATAAAGGGGATTAACAAACTTAAAATCAAGAACAGCATCAAGGATTTATCTATTTCTTTAAACATAAAAAGATATTTTTTGTTTCTAATATATTTTTCATTTTCAAAATACATTTTTAAATCGTCTTCTAAGAACTTATAGTTATTTAAAAGTATTCTAAACCTAGGATTTGTATTAAGAAATCCTTAGACTTACTCATTTTTTCTAGTTTTTTCAACTATAAAGAATGTAATATTTCTTTTAAATTTAATTGTTTTTCTTTAAGAGATAAAATATCGTTTGATAAAATTTCTTTAATAGTAATATAACCACTAGAATCTTTATTTATAAGAGAAAAATCTTTTAAATCATTAAAAGTTGAATTTAAAATATTATTTTCTGAAGGGTTTTTATTTATACATACCACTGAAGGTAATAAAGCTAAAAGTAAATTATCTGGAGTATTAATCTAGATATTACTAGTAATTAAACCATCAGGTGTTTTAATCCTAATGTAACTTGAAATAAGCTCTGTAAAAGAGTTTAAATCGCAGGTATTCGAAGGGAAAATAGGGCAATCGCTAAAAATATAGAATAAGTTTGTAAACATCATATTTTTAAAGTAAGTAATTAGATAGCATCTAATTTTTAGTAATGATTTATTTAGTTTCAAGATTAATTATCTCTACTTACAGTACCGCCACAAGAAGACATAAATCAAGGTACCAGGGGAGAATTTTAAAAAATAATAATAAATATTGATATCATGGGAGATTATTTATTATTATTATAAAATAATAATAACAATCTTTTATATGAATCATCAACCCAGAATAATTCGTTTAAATAATAGCAAATAACTAAAATTCCAATATGACATAATAACATAATTATTATTAATACAAAATTATTCCAATCTCTTAATGAAATAATAAGGCAAACTAATTTATGTAATAAAGGTCTATTCTTAATAAATTCTCGTTCTTCAATTTTAATTAGTTTACTTAACATACCTATAATTAAAAAGAAACAACCAAGAATTCCAATAAATGTAAATAGACAAACACATAAAATTAAAATAGGACTGGGATTTCCATCACTACCTCTAAAATATTCATTTAATAAATTAAATACATCTTGTGGATTTTCAATGAATTTTGAAATTAATTCTACAAAATTATTACTATTTTCATTTGGAGAATTAATTTTGAAGTTTCCATCTAGTAGAGGACTACCAGATCTTTTAATAGAGTGATAATACATTCTTTCACACATTTCTCTCATTTTTTTTTTCTTCATAGTTACGATTCATCATTTCACCTAATCCATAAGTAGCAAAACTACCAATAGTACCAACAACACCTAAAAACAATCCATTTCTAGGATTTGTTTTTGCAATTTCAACTGCAGCAGTTATTGTTGTTCCAGAAATAATTCCTGCAGCAACTCCAGGAGAAGTAATTGGTTTATCATTATTAGAATTACTATTTGATGGATGATTATTTGACCCTACACCTCCATCTCCAAAATTAACATTAAAAGTATTTTTTGATGAAGGATTTGTATTAGATGAATGAGGGGCAGAACTTATATAAATTAATAAACCTAGTAATACTAAACCTAAAGAGCCCGTAAAAATGTTAAAAAGATTATCATTTAAGAAGTGAATAAATTCTATAAAATAAAGATGAATAGAATCAACTAGAATATTAGGATTAAAAAATACAGATGCAAATCTAAAATGATTTTTATCTGTAGAATAGTAATACTTATGTTTAATAAACTTAATAATGGATAGAATATTATTCTGTAATAAAGAATAATAAGTTTGTAATAATCTATTACATCCATAAATAAGTATTTTAAACTAATAAGTAGAAATAACCCAAACTAAGTTTAAAGTTAATCGCAGGATACGAAGGGGGAATAGGGCGATTGCTAAAATTTTAAAAGACATTTTTGTAAACATTTTTTTTAATAAATTAATAAAATTAGATAGCATCAATTAAATAACACTATTTTTTTAAAAAATAAAGACATTTAGTTTCTCATTAAATAATGATACTTATAGAATCCACCTCGAAAAGGTATGTCTGAATAAGATCCTATCTAGAAGGAAATAAGTATGTTTGTTTTCTTTCCTTCTAGAGGAGGATATGTAAATAACAGTTTCGTGTTAAACCCATTACCCTTCTAAAGGAGGATATGTAAATAACTGTTTCGTGTTAAACCCATTACCCCCCTCAACCTTGCGAATCAGCTCGGGTGCTTCTTGGACAATCTCCCAAAGTTGGTCTTACATGACAACGGGCATTTTCACCATACCATCTTTCCATTCCTTCGTCTGATCTGCTTCGCTTACAACTTCCATGCACCCCACTTCCTTTCCACCACTGATATAAATGGCATCCATTTTTCTTCCCATCGCCTTTCGTTGAACTTCTTCAACTGTAGAAAGTTTGTGCTTGCTATTGGATGCTGTTGCGTTTGCTTTGCTGGACTTTTCTTTGCTGTATGATACATAAAAACACAATCATTGAAATAATGTGTTAGTTCATATGTTATTAAAGTGATGGTGTGCATAATTGCTATCGCATACCTGTAAGCGGTGATCGGCGAGCCAATGAAGACAGTATTGATGAAGCCCCACATCTGGTACTGTTTGTCGGACTCAAGATATCCTTCCTTGACATCAGCATGCTTCATGCAAAGGAGCGAAACGGGCATCAAAGTCATCGTCAACCATACGAGAAGAGGATCATCGATAGGATCGTGGTCAATCTTCTATGCATATTTATAAACGTCCTTGGGCGTTTTCTACAAATAGCGATATAATACCAAAAGGGTTAAAAACATACCACAATCATCATAATCCGTGTTTGTTTTAACTTACTACTGTTTGAAGAAGTTCGGTCAACTTATCAGCGATGCATTCGGTCACAGGCAACAACAGCGGGTTGCCATGATCTTCTTCTAATTCGCCCAATTCGTCTGTGGTGAAAACGCTTTCACAATGATCGTCTTCAAGATCAAGGATTAATGATTGACTTGGGCTGGTATAAAAATGAGTAATTTAATTTGAGCATCTATGGTTAAGCATAACATATCAAGGAAAAGTTTTTTTTTTACTTACTAGTAGTAGTTGCATTTTCGTGCGAATTCCATTATTTTTTCTTCAACTGCTTTGGGCTTCTCCTTCTTTTTTGCAGCTTCTTTTTCTGTTGCTTTGAGTGTCCGGAACTTTTCCGGATCCAGTTTTGCGAACATCTTGTCAATTTGTTGTTTTTCTTCTTTAGTCAACAATTTGCTCGAAGCTGTTGATGTTGATTTTGCCTTGGCTTTGGGACTTATTGATGGTGTTGCAGGTTTTGTTGCTGTGACAGCAGTGGCTGGGCCATTTCCTTGCGTTACTTCCATTTTGTCTTCTAGTTTCTTTTTGATATTTTTAAAGGATGGCTCAGCTCGAATCTGATAAATATATGATTGAATGTCAATGGTATCAGTAACACGTATGTATATAATTATATAGCATTTCATTTTAATTGTGATAACGCATACAAGAGTAATTTCAGCATCGCACATGGCTCTTTCCAGCTCGTATATCCAAAATGATTTGAGATCATCGATTGCGTTTTCTTTTGTTGCATCGCAACTGCTGACAATATCATCGGTGAGGTGATCGATGATTTGTTGGTAAGAGATTTTTTTTGTTGTTTTTGAGAGTTCGGAGATTGCTATTTCGGATATTAAAAGAGTGTCAATGCTATTTGTGAATAAATCAGAACTAGATACACACCTTTTTCAACCAAGCTGTGTTCTGTCATATTGGGTTCGACCCTGTCGTTGTCGATGAAGTTGGAATGGAAATACCAACAAATTAAACGTTAACAATAGTTTTTAGATGTATTTATGAGAGGTTCATGCTAGTTATATTGAAACTCCTCGGTATACCTACTTTTTGCTTTGATAATAAAACTTCAAAAACCACAGGAAGTAACAAGACACAATATTTTGCGCGAAGGGAAGAAGGAAAGAAAAGGGGAAAAAAATTTATTGCTATCAGTGGCTAAATGAGTGAAAATTTTTCTTAGCTATTCCATTCTTGGGAGGTCGATCCACAGTTTTCCTTTTGCCCTTTTCGAAGAAACGCCATTTTATTGTTGGATTTAACCAAAAGTTCACAAAAATGTGTAAGTAAATAATAGTACCATGACACCATTATAATTAATTTAATAGATTGATGTTACGATTGATATGATATTCATGAAAGTAGCATCTTGGTTGCTATAATTCATTACAAAAAAAAGACTCTTGATAGAGTCTAACAAGGCCATTCGGTATTATTTTATTCCCAGGCGACGACGTAGAATATATGTTTCCATGCGTCGAATAGCCCTAAATCACTGGCGCAAATCTGTTCCCCAGACAACACAAAATCTTTCTTGAGTAACGCAAGATTATTTCTGGCGTAAATAAGTTGAATATACAGAAAATCAAAAAAGATATATATTACATTGATTTTTTTCTTACAGATTGATTAATCTACTGCATCTAGAATGATAATGTCACGCATGCGGTTCTCAGTGGCAGAAACTACCGCTTACTGCCCGCTGGTGACACCCAACTTTGTTATGGTAAACGCAAAAAGTCAGGTACGCTTTTTCTTAATCCAAATCAAAGCTTCCCAACCAGTCTTGTTCGTCGAGATCCGACTCAACTTGCTCTTCAGTGTCTTCGAACCAAAGATTCGAGCCATAAGATATACACATTTCTTCGTCTATTTCAATGTCGCGCGTTGTCGTGTAACGAATGACCTTGTTTTTGAAATCTCTATAGTAGCCCACATTGGGGTTGGTGTTGTGATTAAACATGGAGCCAAGACCAAGTGCAAGGGCAAATTGGCCACCTTCCCATATATACGTGTAGTGATCAAGGACAGTATGTTGACCGTGTTCCTTGTACTCGTCCGGCGAAAACAACAAAACAGGTGAGATTTCGATAAGCGTATTGCGTTTGATCCGTTCCTTTGGAAACACACCTCGTCCACGGACAGGATGAGTTCTCAATTCAAGCTGGAGTCGATGTGGGGACAAGACAACTGTGTCGTTGCCGTTGTTGGCAGCGTCGTCGCCTTGCTTCTTTTCCATCAGGTATAGGGTATGGAACGAAAGACGCAAAAAAAATTATGTATGCTGATATTGAAAAAAGTTTGGATTAAATGAATTATAGAAAATGTACAAAAGAATTAATTTTATGCTCCCAAAAGTTTAAGTGCCAATGCTTCCTGATCTGCCAGAGTAACAGGCTCATCGGTTTCAATGACACGTTTCTTTCCAGATCGCGATTCGTCCTCTTCGTCTTCTTGAGCTTCACGCCATTTTCGCTTGAACGCCTCACGTTCTTCGTCCTCTTCTTCATCAGATGAATACTCCGACATGGATGCATCGCTGTAAGAATCCTCTGCACCAGATCCCAATGTGTAAACTACTTCGTCCACGTCTTCACCTCGTTCCTTTCTGGCTTCCATCAGCTGAAAAGAAATCGAAAATGTGTTAGTGCTGATTACTACTAGGCTTTATAAATACTGGGACTAGGCATTAGCCCTACCTCTTGTTGCTTTCGTAGCTTCCGCTTTTCTCGCTTTTCTTTGCGCTTCTGCTTTGCGGTTGCCTTATCTTCCCAATCAGCAGTCTCCATGGCCTTGGTCTCTTCACTGATGTACGCTTCCTTTTGTGCCTTCGCATCACCATCCTTCAAAAACTCTTCTTCATTCACCATTTCATACAATTGATGTGGCTAATAAATGAATTAGATAAATTTAGTAAAAACGAAAAACCAGAAAATGTATTGTACTTACGTTGCCTTCATCATCAAACACAATTCGTTCACCCTTGGTCTGTTTCTTTGCAACGTGCTTCTTGGTCATCTTTGCTTGTCGCTTGGATATATTTTCTGACACCAACTCATTGATATCTTCTTCGGGCTCGCTTTCCAGATCATGATCCTTTCGTTGAATCGTCAAAAAGTCATCGCCATCATCATCTTTGGTAACAGTGTCATTTGCAAAATCGACAAGCTTGTTGTAATGCTCTGACAAAATATCCTGATTCTTTCGCTGAAACATGCGATCGTATTTCGTTCTGACTCGATCCTAAAGTTATGATCGAATTAAAGTAAGATATCTTACTGCTGGCAGAAATCCACTTTGTCTCTTACCTTTTCCTTTTCTTCATCCTCTTCCTCATCCTCTTCTTCTTTTTCTTCTTCAAGTAGTTGGGAGGCGGCGGTTTCTTTAGCTTTGGCTTTGTTTATAAACTTGATCTTAGGTGTACCCGCAAGACCAAGCGATGCCGCATACTCTTCTGTTGGCAATTCGGTTGCTTTGAAAATGTTCTTGTTACGTTGTAAAAACACTGAGCGCATGTACGAGACAAAAGCCTAACGATGAAAGTGTTAGTAGACATGTTCAATGTACTCCTGGCAGAAATCAAATAAAGTTTCCTTTACCCTTTGTCCAAGATACTTCATTTCTGAATCCTGGAAACAGTAGCTTTGTAATTGTTTTTGGACAGACTGCTGCTTACTGTCGCGAACCTTGATTTCCTCAATTGGCACCTTCTTCTTTTTGAGTTCCTCCATCATTCCCTCGACTTCAGTAGGTAATAACAGCAAAAGACTATGGCCACTGGCATCAAAACGTGCGGTACGTCCAACACGGTGAATATATGTGTCTGCATCTTCAGGGCAGTCTAGCTGCAACACCCAGTCTACGGCTGGGAAATCCAAACCACGAGCGGCGATATCCGTGCTGAACAGAACGGCGTGCTGCGTAGTGGTAAACTTGCGGAAAATCTCAACGCGCTTGGTCTGTTTTTGCTTGCCGTGCAGATGTAAGAGCGAAATACCGGGCTGGAGTTTACAAAATGCTTCATAGACAAACCGAGTCTGCTTGCAGCTGGACATGAATACGATCGTCTTGGATTGAAGATGAGATCGGATAAACGAGAATAAAACGTCGAGCTTTTTGTGCAGTTCGCAAACGACATAGTGTTGTGTCAAGTTGTGAGGTGTACTGTGCTCTGACTTTTCGTGGACAGCAACGTATTCGGGATCTTGTAAACTAAGTCGTGCAAGATCTTTGACGGATCGAGTCTGTGTAGCCGAAAAGAGCATCGTTTGTCTGCTCCTTGGCAGGTTTTCGATAATGGCGTTAACCGTCTTTTGAAAACCCATGTCGAGGATACGATCTGCTTCATCCAGCACCAGCGCTTGCAGATTGTCGCAATCAAAGCCAACAGATTGATCCATATGCTGTAACAAACGTCCCGGCGTAGCCACCAAAATATTCATTCGTGACACACGTTCCTGTTCCACCTTGAAATCCTTGCCACCAATAATCAAGCCTGCTGAGAATGAGTGCTCACGGCCAATCTTCTTGAGCACCTCAAAGATTTGGACAGCCAACTCACGGGTGGGCGAGATGATCAAGGCACCCAAGCCGTCTGCTGCGTTCCATCGAGCACGATACAGGATTTCCAACACCTATCAGCATGACATATTCTACAGGTGAGCACTTTGTACAATTTATACATCCTACTTAAACTAATTGCTTTAGCAGCGCTTACAGGTACAAGGAATGACAGTGTTTTGCCACTACCGGTCTTTGCTGCACCCAGAACGTCTCGTTTAGCCAAAGCAAGTGGGATCGCTTTACGTTGAATGTCGGTTAATTGCCGAAAGTTGCTTCGTTTCAATCCTTTGCGAGTTTTGGTCGAGATCGGTAGATCATCAAAGAATTTGGTGTCAACATAGTTGTCCTGTCAAAAATTGAAGATCTCGGGTTAGTTTTATTATAGATCTAACGAAGAAGGTATAATCGATAAACATACAGGTTGAGCCACTTTCGATTCAAGTGATTCTAGCTCTTCTTGCTCTTGCAGCTTTCGCTTCTGCTTTAATGAGAGCTTTGGTGCCGGTTGCTCTTCAGACATTGTTCGTCGTCGGGAAATGTACAAAAGTTTTTTTTTTTTTTCTGCGCAAAAACTTAAAGAATGGCCAACAACCGGAGTTTATGTGGCATAGCTCTCTTTTGTTGAAAAATAATGCCTGCAACACTGGCACGACTCGCTTCGTGCCGGATTCTGCCAACTGTAAGATCTCGAAACTATAAAGTTGCATTAAATCAGTCTTTTCGGAAAAGCACCAGCTAATATAAAATCAGTCCTCAAGGAGTGGCCTGTTGCAATGCCTGTCTCCAACGAAAGCAGCATCACTTTCATTTCGACGTGCACTTTCAAACACCTCAACGACGAAGAAGACGCTATGGAACTCGACAAGGTAATATGCCACTGTTGGGCTTATTCATGGTTGACAGGCTTATCGCTGACGCGGGTATCTGTTTATGTAGTGCTTCGAAGTATGCTGCCGCAAAAATGATATCTTTCAGCAGCTCTCAGCATTTGATACTGCAACCAATTGGAACACTCTGCATTGTTGCTGGTGGTTACAAACTGGTGACAACATATCCAACTGCAATCTTGAAAACATGCTACTGCGAAGCTGCTCCTTTTCAGCAAGAGCCCATCTCCCTTAGAGTACCGTCTGCAGCAAAGCAGATAGCGGAACACCATAGACAACAACAACGACAACAATGCCAGGATGTTTCTTTGATCCGCGACATTTGGAATCTGATCAGGCCGGATCTGCTGCTCATGGGTTGTATTATACTCACAGCAGTAGCAGCAGCATTTATCCAACTACAAACGCCTCTAATTACGGGCGAGCTTATCAACATAATTTCCTCAGGATCATCGGCGTTACTTGCTAGTGCGGGAATTAGTCAATTAAATCGTCCTGCATTAAAGCTCTTTGGACTCTTGTCTGCACAAGGTAAAAGAGGATTTCTAATAGAAAACCAAATGTATGAAAAAGAAAATTTGATTTGTATTTGTATGACACAAAAGGCATTTTGACATTTGCGCATATCTCGTTGGTTTCGATCTTTGGCGAAAATGTTGCCAAGCGATTGCGGGCGCAACTGTTCTCGGCGATGGTGAGGCAAGACATGTCTTTCTTTGATTCCCACCGCAGTGGCGAGCTAGTGGGACGTCTAACGACAGATGTTGCAGATTTCAAGGTATTGCTATCTCTTATCTCTTTTACCTCTCTCAATGTTAACGATTTATGTAATGCATATTGTTTGGTAGCACACATTCAAGCAATTGGTGACACAGGGTTTGAAGTCGGTCACGCAAACGGTCGGTTCTGCCATCCACCTATTCCGTATCTCCACTCCCTTGACATTGACTATGCTTGGCACAATGCCTGTCCTTTATGTTTTGCTCAATGTTTATGGTGCTTATCTTAGAAAACTGAGTAGACATAGCAAGGATATTGACGGAAAAGCTAGCGGTGTTGCTGGAGAGGTGATTTCCAATATGCGTACTGTTCGTGCCTTTGCGGCCGAAGATAAAGAAATGAATCATTACAGTGAAGCTTGCGACAGGCTTGCTTCGACGAGCCGAAAGTTAGGCTTCCATGTCGGCATGTTCCAAGGTAGATTCATTAGATATATAAATCCAACTTTTTGAATACTTCTAAACGTGACTTTTATCAAACGTACGTACTAGGGTTGACCAACGTATCAATTGGATGCATGGTACATGAAATTGAACAATTGAAGAGCAAAAATAGGGAAAATATAAGCAGTATTAACGCGCCAAACGCAGGTCCTTACCGTTCTATATTATGGCGGTTCTTTGGTTGTTCGAAATGAATTGACAGGAGGAGAGCTGATGTCGTAAGTCATTTCTTTTGCAGACTACAAAATTGTATAAACATACATTGATTTACTCAAGAACACGCCATATAGCTACATGCTCTCCACCCAAACCGCGCAACAGTCGCTAGGTAATTCACTACATACTAGTACTCGACATAGAGCACATTCATGGTTCATTTTTGCTAATGCCCATGACTTCTTGTTTGAACTTTTACATAAAACAGTGTCGCTAGGCGTTTTGTTCGGACAGACGATTAAAGCTGCTGCTTCTGCTACTCGCGTTTTTGAGTTCATTCACATGGAACCTGCCGTACCTATTAAGGGTGGCGATACGCTTCTCAATGTATGGGGAGATGTTCGATTCCAGGATATCGGATTTGCTTATCCATCCCGCCCTGAACACCAAGTTTTGGAAAAATTCAATTTGCATGTACCTCAAGGGACCACTGTCGCCTTATGTGGCTCTTCTGGTAAAAAAAAAGGATAAAAAAGGATGTTTGAATACCTTTTTCATATCGAATACTTTTAATTTCATTAGGATCCGGCAAGTCGACAATTGCTTCCTTATTAGAACGATTCTACGAGCCTATTGCTGGTACTGTTTTCTTGGATGGACATGACTTATCAGAAATGGATCCGTCATGGCTGAGACAGCAAATTGGTTTCATCAATCAAGGTAATCAGAAATAAAGCACCACAAAGTGATGTTTGTTATAAGTTCTAAAAATGCAAGCATTATGTATACAGAGCCTGTTTTGTTCGCCACATCCATTTTGGAAAACATTCGTTATGGCAGGCCGGATGCGTCAATGGAGCAAGTACAGCAAGCTGCACGTCAGGCAAATGCAGAAACATTCATTGAAAGTTTCCCTGACGGATATGATACCGTTGTTGGCGAGCGTGGAGCTGCATTATCTGGAGGACAAAAACAGCGCATCGCTATCGCTCGTGCCATTTTAAAGGATCCAAAGGTAATCAGCGCTCACTTGGACTATCTAATGTATGGAAAGTCAAATACTAATGGCTGTATGATGATTGGTTTATTATTAGATTTTGATCCTGGATGAAGCTACATCAGCCTTGGATACCCACTCGGAAAAGGTTGTCCAAGATGCTTTGGATAAGGTGATGAAGGGACGCACTGTACTTGTTATTGCCCATCGTCTATCCACTATTCGTGCTGCTGACATGATTGTAGTCATGGGGAGAGTCCCAGGAAACATTGTTGAAATGGGTAGGTGACAGTATTACTGACAACGTCTGTGGTTGAATATCACTAACATACCACCATTGCGTTTTAAACGATAAGGCACACACGACGAACTGATGGCCAAGCGAGGAGTGTACTTTAAATTAAACAACCAGTTAGAAACTGCTGAGCAGTTATAACCAGACACATAATATAATCTGTTAAAATATTACTATTATCGATTCATACTTGCTCGAAAAATCACCTGCATGAATAATATTTGTGAAACTTGCATGTCATTGGCAGTCGCGAACGCGCAGCAATTCGCTGATTATAAAACGCGCGCAATTGTACTTTGTCCTGCATTTTTTGACTGGATACACACTCAATGGCAAACAAAAAGGCCACTGTATACATTCTCGACAGCGGCCCATCCATGGGCAAATGGCTTAAACTGCATGAAGCAACTGCTTTTCAGAAATCGAAAGAAGTCATTCAAACGGCTCTCGAGGAAAAGGTTTGTCGCCTTAATTCTTGGTTTATTCTCCCAGCTTCTTTACACTAGTCGTGAATGTCTTTTTTTGAGAATTATGTAGTTACTTGCCGGACGCAAGACTGATCAAGTGAGCATTGTCATTGCTGGCACTGAAGGTATATGTTGGTCACTTTTTCTTTTTTTTACCATGCCTCACCTGCGATTCTTCTAAAGATGACTATATCTAGAATCTGACAACCACCTCGCGGTTGAACAGCCTGGCCAATACCAGCACATAACTGTAATGAGCCAGATCAAGCAACCTGATCTCGAGCTAGTGCGCAAATTTGTGAACGTCCCACTCTTGGACTCAAAAGAAAACAGTGCTGACCGTAAGTATTGGCGATACAGAGTGATTTTCTTTCTTACTGTATGGATATACTGCGTGCATTTTAAAGACTTTTGAAATAACCAACAGAGTTCTGATCGATTAGCTTTCGATGCGGTTATATTGACTGTTGCCATGATCAAGGACTATGTACGCCACTTGAAGTTCGAAAAACGTATCCGATTGTTTACGACTTTGGAAGGAAACGTCAACTGGGACAACATCGAAGATGTCAATCAAATGCTGCGCGGATGCGGTATCGAAATTTCAATCGCGTAAGGAAGCTGGAGTTTACCAGGCACTCTATAAATCTCTATGTGCAACGATAGATCATTCTGATTTACACATGTTTTAAAATTTGTGATCAGCTGTTTGGGTCTTTCCGACGCGGAAGAACTAGGCAATAGGGCAAACGAGAGAGTCAAAACGAATCTGGAAAACTGGAAGCAATTAATGAAGGACGTACCGAACGGCTTTCTTATTGACTTGATGGACGCCATTGAAGAATCCACTCAATTTCACAAGAAGGAAGTCCGACCCACGCCGACATATCGTGGCTATCTAACATTTGGTGATCGCGTTCAATTTCCTGATACGTCGCTTTCTGTCAGTATTAACATGTACGCAAGAACAATGGAGGCAAAAGTTCCGTCTGCAGGAAAATGGTCGTCGATTTCGAATGTAACTGGCACAAGGAACGAACACGGAGCAGAAAGTCATCAAGTAGCATCCGACACCGTATACAAAGTCAAACATTTAGATTCGGGCAAGCATGCCAACAACGAAGACAACGACAACGCCGACGACAGCGGACATAATGACGATAATCATGCAAACGAAGACGAAAATATAGTGGTGGAGAAATCGGAGCTTGCAAAGGCATATAATTTTGGCAAGGAAAAAGTTGTGGTATCTCCAGATACTGAAGAACACTTGAAGCTGAAGACCGAGCCATGTATGACTGTTTTGGGAATCTACCACAAAAAGGCAGTAAGTCTTGCTATTCTATGCTCAATTAAAGTAGTGACAGATCTCATGTGCGATAATATAACACCACATTTCTGTCTACATAGTTCCCACCACAACTTCAAATGTCCAACGTATACACTATCGTTGGAGGTAGTGACCAGCCCGTTTTCGCTGCAAAAGCTATATCAGCGTTTGCACAGGCTTTGGGAAAAAACAACTGGGTGGCATTGGTCCGTCATGTGTCGCGTGCAAACGTTCCGCCTAGGCTTGGTATTCTTAAGCCTGTGTTGCGAGAAGACATTGATGCCTTGTACTTTGTTCGGGTATGTCGTCAACCATGTTTATATTGAAGCTAATAGTGTTGCTACTGATGTTGCTAGATTCATATAATCTTCCTATAGGTCCCTTTTGCAGAAGATTATCGAGATTTCACTTTCAGTTCGTTGGACAAGGTCTTTACTGAATCTGGCAAAGAAATAACGGAAGATCATCCTCTCTTGCCAACACAAGACGTACGAGACGCAATGTCAGCTTTTGTTAAAGGCATGACCATCAAAGAACCAGTATATGCAGATGATGACAAAGGGTAATCGATGAGATTTTTTAATGAATTTTAAAGCAAGAGAGTATGTTTTCTTACTGGAGAGCGTATAGAGACGATGAAACTGATGAAGAAGATGCAATGATCGAAATCGATGAAATATACAACCCTCAGTTATGGCTGACCCAAAAGGCTATGATTGCTCGAGCACTCAACCCTGCAGCTGCCATCCCTGAACTGGATCCGCGTCTAAAACAACAGTTTGATCAACCCGCAAAATTGATAGCCAAAAACAAGAACAGTATTGAAAATCTGAAGCGAGTGCTCAATGTAAAAAAAGGTAAACATTCAATTAAACCGAGAAATGATCAAGCAAATTACTGAATAACTCATTATTGTTGTAGTTGATCGTGCAAGCAAGAGAAAACGATATGGAGGTATCGATGCAGACCAAGGTGTACCAGAAAATCTATTACCTCTCGATCAAGTGCTGCAGACTCAGCAGCAACGTGTTCCCGAAATGCATATCAAGCAGGAAGAACAAACAGGCTCCGAGATACGCGCACTCTTTAATAAGGAGACACGCGAGATTACAATGGAAAATCCCAAACGAGACTTCACTAACATGATCAATAACCGAGAAGAGGATTTGGTCACCAGCGGTACGTTTATTGTTATATGCGATGCACAATTTTATGTAAAGTTTTACTTACTTGCTCTTTGACACAATACTCTGTAGCTGTGGAACAAATGTGCGTTATTATCACCAAGCTTGTCACCCAATCTTTTGGAGACCGAGATTACGAGCAAGCTTTTGAATGCTTGGAGTGTCTCCGATCAACAGCAGCAAAGGAAGACGAGTCGGAGGCGTTCAACAAGTATTTGTATCAATTAAAAAATACGTGCGATCCTAGCAATCCACAGTCGCACAGACGCGGCTTCTGGGATATCATGAAGAACAAACGCCTGACATTGATTACCAATGAGGAAGCACCAGATAGCAACGTAACATCTGGAGAAGCAAGAACTGTAAGTCCATTATGTGCTATGCTTTGTGATATATACATTCGCTTATATGCAATCTTCTTTCCTTAATACTAGTTCTTGGAAGAAGAAAAGCCGACAAGAAGTACAGGTCCCCAAGAAAGCATGGATGACGACAATGGTCCATCAAACGAAGATTTGGTTAGTAGAACTTGGAGGAGCTTGTGTAATCAGTACCTTTTACTAACGTAGCCATCAATAGTTCGATATGTTGGAATAAGAATTGGTGGAAGGTATATTAACTTGGCTGACTTGGACAATGCAAAACACTTTCTGGACCATATCCTTCTTTGCTACAAACATACAATCGTGCAATTCTTCCATACCATGTACTCCATTTTGTAACGAAATTAATATCTTTGCTATACTTTCTTATAAATGTTGTCACTGTGCTCTAATCTGCGAAAGCAATTAATCTCGGCAATGCTCATATCAGCTGCATCTTTAATCAACGTGACTTGGAGTTTCAAAAAGTTGCATAAGGCATCAAGAGGAGAGATAAAAGCTTACAGGTGCTCACAGGTTCTACTTATATACACGTCGATACAATGTAGATTGCTTCACAAAGAGTGACATAAAGCTATACATTTCGTTTCTGGAGCTGAATGCTGCTCACATTTATGCATATGCAGTCGTCAAAGTTTCTTGCGGTCCGGTATGGATTGAGACCTTCGATATATATAAATATAAGTTTCAATGATAGCAGTGTCGCTATGGGCATCATTCCACATCTTTAACTTAAGGTCAATAAGAAACAGACGTTCGTAGTTAATTAATCTTTTCATTATGCATACAAAATTCTATGTACAATACCATTATTCTGAGTATGTATTTTTGTGGTTGCCAAATCACTCTACTACGTATATGACACTTTTACTAATGTCCAAGTCATTATTCAACGTTAGTATGTGACATCAGTTATCTTCTTGTGTTTCCCATTATGGCTTCTAGATCTGTTGTTACTTCTCGCATAATCAAATATATGCTGTAAAAGATATGTAGCCTTTCCCAGTAACGTTAATAACAAAGCGTCTGCTTCTTCTTTGGGAGGCAAACGACAATTTGTACATGTGTAAAGCTACATACATATCGTATTAATATACCACTACAACAGCACAGTGGGCTATGTTTTCGAAGGTATACAGAACAAGCTATCATACTGCGACGATAATCACAAAAAGAAATCAAATGATGATGACGACTAGAATAATGAATTAGCTCCACGTTTGCACTATCTGACTCGAGATGGACTTATGCAAGGTAAGAAGCAGCTATTAAACTTGTTGGTCGGGAAATGTGAAATGATTAAGTAAGCATTCGTCGCTTGTAGGATGTGTTGCCAAAAGCAACTGATTGCTTATAGAGAAAATTAAACCTATCGGCGTCTTTTACGTTGGTATCTTTGATGGTACTACTCTAAAAGGTCAACGAAATGAGGAGAGACAGTAGCTCTCAAAAAAAAATTGAGCTCTGGACTCTTCTTGTCGGTCTTGATCTGTACAACATAATTGGTATAGTTTTAATGGTGTGTGTATAGAAGGGGAACAGCACTTTATCGAGGATGATAGTTTGCTTTCGCTAAGCAATCTATTACAGCAAACTACTACTTTGTGTGGTTGACAAAATAATACGTGTGGCATAGAAGTGGTCTCAAACAGGCTTGAATATGGCCACTAGTACCAGAAGCAAATAAGACATGTCGTGATAGACGAATCAGCGGTTACACGAACCGAATGCTGTCAACAATGAGGATCGATAGCGACACAAGATATAATGGGTGAACATAGAAAGAATAGAAAACAGAGTCTGTGGATTGCTCCGGGGATATAATTGTGCGGAGGGTATTTTGTCAAAACCGCTCGCGTGGCGTGAGGGCGAATTTATCTATCAACCCGAGGAGGATTAAAACCCCAATTTCTGTTGCCGAGGGTGAACCTCCAAAAACAGAAAGTCAGTTCACACGACGCCCATCTTTTGTCGACTGTTGTTGAAAAGTCAGCCATCCCGTTCCGTGTAGTAAGCACAATTGCGGGTGCGTATGCGCGCCAGTCGATACGCGAAGGAAGATTTCTGGTGTGCAGTGTTTGCCGTGTTTGCTGCAGAAGGCTGGTGCCTGGCTTTCAGTCGTCAGTAGCAAAAGTGCCACGCTCTCCTGAGGAAAGGGCGTGATCATCATCCGTTACAAAAAGCAATAGTTGTGGGCTCATAAACCTAGAGGCAGCCGACGCATTTGGCACGTTTCATCTCATCTTGCATCCTGGACCCATATAGGATAAAAGTGGCTTGCCCAAAAAGCGATTACTTATTGTGCTGACCGTGCTGCTGCTGCATTGATCTGCATAAAGAACGCTCGTTGCTGATATAAAGGAGAAGCAAATAAAAACTGTGATCCCCTCTCTCTTCTTTTCTTTCTTCGCTCCCTCTTTCTTCTTCCTTGATTTCTCCTCAAAGTCGATTCTTTCCGTTCAAATGGCATGTCTTAGGCGCCACCACCATCGCCAACGCTCCTTACTTGAGCGGCTCCCTTCTGAAATCCTGTGGCATATTTTTTCATTTGCATCACCACGAGAACGCTGTGCAGCACGCACAGTATCCAGGCAGCTTTACAGAATCTGCAGCCATCCTAAATTCTGGCAGTCTGTCGCCCTGACACACGCGTCACTCTGGCAATTGGACGAGCTACGCCACATCCTCACACCCCATCTCCAGCACATCCGATCTCTCTCTGTCCAAGGCGTCCGCGATGAAACACTGCGCTTCCTGCTGAACCACTGTCCAAATCTCCAAGAACTAAGCGTTCATCGATGGCGGACGCTGTCTGACCACGCACTCCAATTGGACAAGGAGCATTTGGGACTCCGGTCCTTTGCGCTGCATGGCGACAACACACCGTACACCGCCATTGATGCCAATTCGCTTGCCCAGCTTTTGCTCCGACTGCCCAATCTGCAAATCCTTGCCATGGTCGCACACGCGCATGTGCACATACCAACGTTGCTCAAAGCCATCCAAAAGAAACCGCCACTTGCCCTCCGTGCCATCACGCTGCCGGTCTACCATCACGAACAGCAGTACGACGGCGTGGCCATCTCCAGTCAGTACGGCGAGCAGCTCCTCGAAACGTGTCCGCGCCTCGAGCAGGTGTTCTTTGTGCCCAATATGGGGGTCTACTATCATTCTGACAGCAGCAAACTTAATCCTGTGCTTGTGCACCACCGACGCATTTTAATAGAAGAAGAGCAATCACGTGCATAGACATAATCATCCATTCATAATACCACCCACATACCATACATATACTACTACACTGCATCCGCGATTGGCATTGCTGCTCTCGGATATAAACATAAATGACATAATAAAAGACGAAACTGTCATCATTGAAAAGTCATATCAGGGGTGGGATGGGAGCGACTAGTGAGCGCAGGGAGGGATGATGCAATCCTTTGCTCGATCGCCAACTCAAACAAGTTTGGGATTCCGTACATATTATAAGAGAGACAGGCAAAGTGGGAGACGGCTTTTTAGACTTCTTTCTTCCACTTACTCCTTTTTACGCACACTCCACTTTTTTTTTTCTTACACCCTCCACCATTCATCATCCAACAACCCCGTCTTCAACATGACGACACTGACGAACTCAATGAACGGCCTTCCTCGACGCAACAGCATCCAGCGTGAGTTCATTGCATCCAAGACGGTGGCCAACGTCTTGTCAGAGGTGAAAGCAGCATCGACCCGTCAGCTTGTTGATCTGCCCTCAACGGCAACGATGGAAGAAGCGTTCGACGTCCTCTTGGCTGAGGATATCTTATCGGTGCCCGTATACCAGCTGGAGGCAGATCAGCACGCCAAAAAGTACTTGGCCATTGTCAGCGTCTTGGACTTGCTCAAACTGCTCAATGTAAATGGCTGTGGCCGTGAGAAAAAAAATTTCATGTTTGAACCCCGGCCACCCCACCGCCATCAACAACGATGTGCATTTGTTGATTCACACAAACAAAAAAAAAACCTTGTCTTTCTTTTTTGGCTCGTCGTAGGACAATGTAGATCGCAGCTGCCTGCTGAGGCCACTCGCTGAAGCCGCAGGAAGAACAGCCGAAAGCTCGCAACTCGTCAGCGTGCGGCCGACGGACTCGTTGCAGTACGTCATGGAGCTGTTCAGCACCCATGCCGCCCACCGTGTCTTGGTGCTTCAAGAAGAATCACCCATCCTGCTGTCTCAGATGGATGTCGTCAAATACCTCCAGGCTCACAACCACCAGCTGGGCCCTATCCTCGACCTGACGACGCCGACGATTGTAGATCATGCACGCACCCGACGAGGCGAGCATCCCTTGGCCTCCCTGAACTATCGCTGCACGGCAATGGACGCATTCTTGCAGCTTGCACAGTCGCGCGTGGGCGCCTTGGCCGTTGTGGACGACGAGGACGACATGGTTGGGGAATTGAGCGCAGAGAACTTGCGAGGACTGAACCGGGAGCGGTACGACGCACTGCAGAAGCCGGTGGTCATGTACTTGAAGGAGAGCCAAGGCGATCTGTACCCGCCACTGACTTGCCACGACCGCTTTACGCTGTCTCAGCTGATGACGGCCTTTGTGCTGCGCAAAGCCCATCGTCTGTGGTGGGTGGATGAGGCGGGCCATGTGAAAGGCGTTATCACGCTCAGTGACTTTTTGGGCACCTTTATTGATGCGTCGCTGTGATTGGATAAAAAATAAAAAAGGACCACTGTTGTTGTCACCTGGCCCCCATTTGCTTATGTGCTTGTACGGGTAATTTGTAGCACCAGCGCCAGCCAGCAACAGAATTGCCCTAGCTGCATTACTGTGAAGATCGTTTGTTTGTTTTTTCGACTCCTTTGACTGTCTTCTTCCTTCTTTCTTGTTTGGACCCTTCTCTTGGCACCGCATCATCATTTTAATAAGAAAGCCATATCCATCCAACCACCTTTTGTGGTAGCATACGATCAATGATGATGCAACCGCCACCTACGCCGCCCGTTCATGCAAGTGTCGGCAGCCGTAGTAGCATAGACTACCGCAGACCTCCTCCTCCACAACCTCCGCTGGTAATGTCACAGACCCCATTTCCAACGCAATGGCGACCGTACATGATGCCAAGCCCAACACCACACCTCGCGCCAGCACGACAGCCACGACGACGGACAATACGACGTGTGCCGCTCGTGCAGGGCAACCTAGTGCTGGACTGTCCAGTGCCAGAACAATACCTGCAGTCCGTGCCACGCAGGAACGAGAAAGAGTTTGATCAAATGCGATATACAGCCGTCACTGCTGATCCGGCCGAGTATAACCAACAAAACTACACGCTTCGCCAAGAACTCATGGAGCGTCGCACTGAGCTATTTATCTGCATCACGCTTTACAACGTAAATGATAGACTACTGTTCTTGAAAAGTTTCGCACGCTTCCACTGTATTGTGATCGTACTGACTGTTTTTAGGAAGACGAGATCCTATTGTCACGCACGTTGCACGGGATCATGAAAAATATAGCCCATCTATGTGGCAGGAAACGCTCACGAACATGGGGTGCCGATTCATGGACCAAAGTCGTGATTTGCATAATGGCTGACGGGCGTGACAAGGTACATCCGCGTGTGCTTGATCTGCTATCCGCACTGGGCGTGTACCAAGAAGGTGTCGCCAAGAACTTTGTCAATGCCCGGCAGGTCCATGCACACATCTACGAATACACGACACAGCTCTCGCTGAACCCGGACATGAAATTCAAGGGCGCCGTCGACAACATTGTGCCCACACAGATCCTGTTTTGTCTCAAGGAGAAGAATCAACGCAAAATCAATTCGCACCGGTGGTTCTTTCAGGCGTTCTGTCCGAAGCTCAGCCCCAATGTATGCATGTTGCTGGATGTTGGCACGCGGCCGGGACCTACATCCATCTACAAGTTGTGGAAGACGTTTGATATAAACTTGCATGTTGGTGGCGCGTGTGGCGAGGTCAGAGCAATGACAGGGACGGCGGGTGTGGGGCTACTGAATCCGCTCGTGGCGAGTCAGAACTTTGAGTACAAGATTTCCAATATCCTTGACAAGCCGCTCGAATCTGTCCTGGGCTATATCCAAGTACTTCCCGGTGCTTTCTCAGCCTATCGCTATACGGCTTTGAAGGACAATGTCGATGGGTCGGGTCCGCTGCAAAAGTACTTTTTGGGAGAGAGGTTGCATTCAGATGGTGGGATCTTTGAGGCCAACATGTACCTTGCCGAGGATCGCATCCTCTGTTTCGAGGTAATTCATGCCAACTTTTGGTAGTAATAACAAGTATTCAGAAAATTGATCCTGTTGGGATATTGGGCATATAGTTGATAGCAAAACGCAATGCACAGTGGGTGCTTCACTATGTATCAAACGCGTACGGCGAAACAGATGTGCCCAGCGCAGTGCCTGAGTTTGTCACGCAGCGACGGCGATGGCTCAATGGCTCGTTCTTCTCGGGCATCTATGCGTTGTTTCATTGGGGCAAGATATTGTCCACGGATCACTCGATGCTACGGAAGATCCTGCTTTTCATCGAGCTCATATACCTGTCGTTATCCTGGATCTTTTCCTGGTTCGCCCTGGGCAACTTTTTCCTGTGCTTCTATATCCTCACTAGCGCGCTCTCCACCATGACACACCCGCCATTTGCCCGTGAAACAGCAGAGCATGTCCATATTGCATTGACCTACGTGTACATTGTCTTGCTGATAGTCCTGTTTCTATTCTCTATGGGAAATCGGCCACAAGGGTAAGCATCTGTTGCATTAGTGATAAATGCTACCTTGCATGACTTTTTCAGCGAAAAAAGAAGAGCGTGGGGACACTTTATAATACTTGATTTATTTTAGCTCGAAAGGCACTTATACAATGATCATGATATTCTTTGCTGGACTCATGGGCTACATCATATTTGCATCAGTCTGGCTGGCATACGATGGAATCAACAATGCAGTTGCCACCGATTCACTGTTGACAGATGGATCGTTCCGTGACATTTTGATTTCCGTTGGCGCAACCTATGCACTCTATTGCCTCGCCTCCTTGCTGTTTTTAGATCCCTGGCATTTGATCACCAGCTGCATACAGTATCTGATGATGACACCAAGCTATATCAATATTTTGAATACCTATGCATTCTGTAACACTCATGACGTCAGGTAATGCCCTCTTCTCTCTGGTAAGAGCAACGCGAAGAAGAAATGCTAACAAACAAGTAACATTAGCTGGGGCACCAAGGATATCCACCTCGTAGCAGTAGACCTCGGTGTTGTAGAAGGAGATCACCAGCAGGCGGACGTTGATATGCCGGAGCAAAAAGATGTCGGACTTCTCTATGAGGAAGCTTGTGTAAACCTGCGCAAGCGTGCACGGGAGGATCCGCCCAATAAAGTTGATCCGAAGACAAAGCAAGAAGACTACTATCGAGCATTTCGCACCCGTCTTGTCACTACTTGGATCCTCAGTAATCTTATCTTGGTTGCTCTCATCGCTACCGCACTCGATCTCGACTGGTTAGGTAAGATAAATCGGTGGGATAATGATTCTTTGGTGAATATGAGCTACTCCATGGTCAGATGTGACTAAAAAGAAGCGTAAAAATAATTCTAGGCAACTTTGAGCAGCGAACGAATGGATATCTGGCTTTTATATTATGGTCCGTAGCTGCGCTGGCCGCGTTTCGCTTTATTGGAAGCGTATGCTACCGTACGTTCTCCATATTCACCGGTTCCTAAAATTGTCTGCAAGAAAAATTATATATAAAAGGAGATTTTTTATCGCTTGGGTCTTTTGATTTCTTTTCTGTTTCTCCGTTATGGCACTCTTGGCAGTGCGGATATCTGCATTACGTGCATTTCTCATTACTTTGAGTTCATTGACATCGTTTATCTATGCTTACCCCACTGGCGTTCTCGAGGTAGTCGAGGAGCCTCATATTGACTTTGGCTCCCCAGAGTTTTATGAAAAAGTCGTTGTTATTATTGCTTTGGTCTTGCTCGGTGGCGTCTTTGCCGGTAAAGTGTCTTTTGCCTCATTTTCCCCCAATAAACGGCATGGAGAGATCTGCAAGAGCTCATGTAACCGGTGTGCTAATTGTCGTATGGAATTGTGAACAACAGGCTTGACGCTGGGTCTTATGGGCTTGGACGAGACGAATCTCCATGTGCTTATTGAATCTGGAACACCGACGGAGCGCGAGAATGCCAAAAAGGTTCTCGCGCTGTTGGCCCGTGGCAAGCACTGGGTGTTGGTGACGCTTTTGCTATCGAACGTGGTGATTAACGAAACGCTGCCTATTATTCTCGACGGCGTGCTCGGCGGTGGTTGGCAAGCCGTTGTCATATCAACTGCACTGATTGTCATTTTCGGCGAGTAAGTTAATGAAAAGGAAGGAGGCCCGAGTGAGAAGAAAGGGGGAACGAACAATAAAGAGACAGATTATTAACGTACTCCTTATCCTTTTTGTTTGTGGTCTATTCCAGGGTTATTCCTCAATGTAAGCTTAAAACTACTTTATGCACCGGTTGATAGTGTTACTGCTTTCCTGTCCAATGCGATGATTCCATGCATGCCATGTGGAGCAGCAAATGAACTGCAGCGACCGTTAATTAACATGCATCCTTTCTTTATAGCGATCTGCGTACGCCATGGTCTTGCCATTGGCGCAAAGACAGCCTGGATGGTCCTTGTGCTCATGTACGCCATGTACCCTATTGCCTACCCAACTGCTATTCTGCTGGATTACTTTTTGGGCGAATCCCACGGTACGGTTTACAAAAAGGCCGGATTGAAGACGTTGGTGTCGTTGCATCAAGCGGTCCATCCCTCGGATGTTGAAGCACTTACGTCCGACGAAGTTACAATCATTGGTGCCGTGCTGGACTTGAGATCCAAACCCGTATCGCAGATCATGACGCCCATTGCTGACGTGTTCACGCTGGCAGTAGATGATATCCTCGATGAGGCCCTGGTTGACAGAATCTTGACAGCTGGTTACTCGCGCATACCCGTCTATTCGTCTGGCAGCAAAACAAACTTCGTCGGCATGTTGTTGACTAAGCGCCTTATCACCTACGACCCCGAAGATGCACTTCCTGTCAAGACACTGCAGATGAGCACATTGCCCGAAACAGGCCCCGACACTAGCTGTCTCGATATTCTCAATTTCTTCCAGGAAGGAAAGAGTAAGTGGTGTAACCTCATCCATCATCGACAAGAAGTTTATTTCTCTCCCCAAAAAAAGACTAGAACGTCTTGTGTAACACTTTATTTGTTTTGTTTTATTTAGGCCATATGGCTTTGGTTTCGAATGATCCTGGAGGTGAAAGTGGTGGTATTGGCGTTATTACCCTTGAGGATGTGATTGAAGAGCTTATTGGGGAGGTAAGGCAAAAGACGATATATTATGAAACTGCTAAAGATATATGCTCACACTGTCGCTTATTCTTCTTCTTTAATAGGAAATCATCGATGAAACGGATGTCTATGTGGATGGTAAATATTTGAAGCAATAGAGCAGGATGGATGAAACAGCTGACACAGAGCAAACAGAAACTAACTAACACGTTTGTAATCTTCAACGTAGTTCGTAACAAGATTCGTGTTGTGCGTCGACAAGTCCACAACAGTAAGAAGGGCAGCAGTGCTCGTTTGCAGAACAGATGGGCTGCGCGAAAACGACACTCTCATCCGTTCCCACCTCGAGAACGCACCGGTAGTTCTGAGGGCATCATTCGCTCGAATTCCAGTGGTTCCATCACCAATACGCAATCTCACAAGGTCATTGAGCCACATCAAAAGACCTATGGTGCTGTGGCCGAAGCTAGAATGTCCACGTCGCCTTCGAATTATCCCGAGCAAGAAACCCAACCACTTTTGCGCAACGGCAATAACCATTAAAAAAGTTTAATATACTCTCCGCTATTCATTCTTTCACCCAACACATAACACACTTTTAAATTGCTTTCTTGGCACTACTTTCCGTTTAGCCTCAAAAGAAGAGAAATATATTCTATATAACAATATCGCTTTCACTAATAAGTGTTGCACATTTTCATCGCTACATACTACGGGTACACTAGAGTAGCTACCGCTTTCTCATCATCGGGTTAACAAAATGCCATTGCTGCTGAGGATCAGTGATATGATGTATGCGACATAGAACTTGCCAAATTGCTTTCCGCGCCATATATTAGTGTTATAAAAGAGGGAGCGGATCAAAAAGAAGATATGTCTCTAGTAGTCAATCAGTTCTACAACAATCCAATAATTTAGATATCAAAAAATGCAACCTACATAACAGTGCAGCAGACTAGCTTGCTCTTCTCGTAAACACTTTTACAAGAGGATCGATCCCCTTCATCCTTGTCTGTGTAACACACGTGATTCCGTAGACGTTCCTATTGGCTCAACACTGTGAGCCTCTTTCTCTTAGCAATGTTTATTCCGGTGGTATGATGCTTCAGACATAACGACGATGTAAGTTATTAGCAGATTAAAAAGGTCAACATGTCGATAGATGCTATTAGCTGATTCTTTTTTTCCAATTATATAAGAAAGTATACATAATCGTTAAGATAAATCCCGCATGGCAGATCAGAAAAGAAGGTCCGATGCATGAATTATTTGGCGGGATGACATTTTAGACTCCCACTACTCGAATATCGAGTTTGTCTCATGACAAGAAAATAGAACCAAATATAAAAAGGGCTATAGATGTTGGAAGCAGGCAGTCGTTGTACGTATCATGAACGACATCCTGAGCATGATCGAGGGATCATCACTGTCATAAGACCTCTATATACCAGATACTGTCCACCAAACAGTCAAATAATCGTCGACTGCAGATTATACGTGCACTATCTATTTATATACAAAAGGATTGTCACGAGATATTTACCATCGAGCTATCTGCCAAGTCCTATTTGAATGGTGCGAAAGACGAGAGAACAGGAATGATATACAAGTGGGAAGAAATCCCATTGTCAGTATTCGTGGAGGTGCTACTGTGATAAAAGGAAATGTAAAACACGTAATAGAGATTTGCTATACGCACAGCTGTTTTGATGCCGTTTGAAAGTACTTGACGCTGGGCGTCACGGTATTTCAGATCTGGCAAATACTTATTTGTTAAATATTACCAAGGCTAATTCCGGCTGATAAAGGTGCCAGCACGATACGTTCATTTATTGCCAGAGCATATGGGAGACTGACATTGTGGCGTTCGGTCAGCTTTTCTTGTAACAGCAAAGGTTGCGGCAAAGGTTCGAGTCAGTGTGATGGCTGTCAGGCCGAGTGTCACACTGTACTGCCCATGATAATATAATGGGATTTCACTTAATTTTGTATACCATTGGCGTGTTAATTTGAAAACTCACATCTTTTGTACGAGCTCTGAGATCATTTCATCCGACGATATTCCGAATCTTTTTTGCTTTTGGCGGGGAAGAATATGACGCTTATGAGGATGATGATGAATGCTGCTTGCTAGACGTCATCGTCATCTTCCAAAGGTCACTTGTTTCGACTGGCCGCAAGATCCAGATCAAGTTCGTGCCCATATCTCCGAATAAAGCATATAACACACACAAAGTAAACGAGCCTTCAAATGTCAAGGAAACGCATATTGAGCCATACTTTATGTTCTCTCAGTCAAACTAGTGTTATTGAATGTATGATCCGTGTCCTTGTATAGTAGGGCTTTCTCAAAACCAGTGTGCGATTGGCATCAACTTCGAATCGCCCAAGGTTGTGGTGTACTTATTTTCGACAACTCGGATGGATGATGAGCTTTTCACAAGATCATTTTCCGGAGGAGTCAAGTCAACCAGCCATTTCAGCTTTTGGTCCGTATATTGAATAAGTAACCACAAATCGCCTGCGCTACCCACTAGAAGGTAAGATGTTAGATTTTTTAAAAGGAGCATACTCACAACATGGTATTACCAACACTACCGTCTACCGTTATATTCCCGCAATCGCCATAAAACACACGCCACAGAAATTATTAGAAATTTTTATAAATACTTATCATATAGTACATAAAAATAAAAAGCAGCTCCACGTCGCAATACTTTTTGTACCGTTTATAAAACATCTAACTATAGTGATGCAGCCAATTTAATAGTCGAGCTATTGCAGGTTGTATTCAACTCGTTCATGGCTCAAAACGCCAATTTTGCTTGCGATACGAATCATACAATGGCGAATCAGCGATTTCAAACGCAGCATAAGAATGTGCATTTTACGCAGCAGAAGTTGCTGTGCACCCTCTCCTCCTTAACAATCGTCCTCATTGGCGAACTCGCACCTTTGGCATTGTTTTGCAAGTGTCTGCTGTAGCTGTCTACTGTGTCATCTGTTTGCGTTGATGCCGCTTTTTAAACATTCGTGCACAATGTTGCTTGGTGATATATGAAGGAAGCGCGCTGCCGTGAAAAGACCATTAAATGCATATGAAGCCTTTGGTTTTGGCTTGCTTCGATCTCTTGGAACCAGTGTTGCTTTAATTATGGTAAGCAAGCTCAATTTACTATATATTTTTAAAGGAAGAGAAAGATTTGTACCGTTCCTTTAGTTCTCTATAAATTCACCTTCATGTCCTCGTTCTTTTGTTGCACAGGCCTCTAAGCTTCTGCTTTGTCTTGCTCAGGTAAACCTCTAGGTCTTAAAATGACTTACGATTACCCTTTCTTGTTATACTTTGTTAGGAAAGTCAAACTATTCCCTGTCGCTTCTTATTCTCCTCCAGCGTTTGGCTCCAGGCTTATACTGCAACGCGATTGTGCACCTTGGTGTTTTGATCAGGTGTGTTTGTTATGGAACACGCTTGAGGTTCGAGTCCTCTCCTGATCTGGGAGGCCGGGGACGCGGCTATAGGCTCCTTGACCATTCTCTATAGTCTGCTTCGAGTTGAGCCTGAAAGTCTGAACATTCTGAGGGTGAGATTCCCTCAAGGCGCCCCTGGCTCCGAGTGCGAATGTCAAAATTCGTCAGGTGGATAACGAGAAGCAGTTACCCACTACAGGGGGGAGCGCATATGCCGGCGACGGCCGCGGTAGCTGTCAGCGGGTCAAGTGCCGGTGGCTCCCTGGGTAATCATTTGCCACTAAAGCGATTGCTCTCCGCTATAGGTTCTTTATGGACCTGCGCCCATGCGACAGTTGGGCCTGTCTCCGTCCCTATATTTTTTTCCGCTCCCTTTCTTGAGCATTAGCAACGGTCCTGGATCCTGTGGGTTGAGGTACAACCCTGAGGTAAGCACTCATTGCGTAAAGAGGTTCCATATTTGATAAGCATGACTCATCTATTTTGTACTAGTTCTTGAGTATATCGGTTGTTGGTGGCGACATGCGTATTTAGTCTACAAGGGTTCTCAGCTGGTATCATGTCCTACGGTATGTTGCTGTTCATCTATTATTATAATAGATGAGTGCTTGAGGTCGACCGAAAACTGACGTGTAGATCGTATCGTAGATACGAATTGGTATTTCATCTTAGAGCGGTAGAGGGAAAAACGGAAGGAAGGAAGGATTCAGGGACTTGCATTGATACAATCCATCCCGTTAATGTCAACCAAATGATACCAGTCTTTACGGTATCACCCCTTCTAAGCAACAATAGCCGAGCGATCGTTCCTTCCAAGCCGCAACAGCCTTTATCTTCAGCACTTTCAGCTGTATCTGAGGGTTGACATTAACAGGGATCGAATGTTTAATAAATGGATGAATTATCCAATTTTATTTAGCTTGCTATCTGTCCTCGACTTGATGTGCTGCGTGCTGTAAGCCCCACCACGTCTATGATGTTAGCTCATATCATAATGCAAAGGTTCTTATGTTTTCTAGAAAAACAATTTATTAAAATGATTTTATTTAGCAACATTTTTATGGTACTGCACAAATGGAGAAAAAACTAAGCTTCTTGTTATGCTCTTTTTGGGGTGGGTGAGAGAAGGTACTAAGATTTTTGGGAATTTTGGTTACTAAAGTGGGTACTGCCATGATGAACTTATTACTACTGAGGGAAAGTGATTGGGTACTGCTAAAAGAATGGAACTGCTTTTTTTTGCTTGTGGTAGAAAGAGAGACAAGAGAGAAAGAAGGGGAAAATCTAAGGGAAAGAAACTGAGAAACTTATTTGGCATCCTGCTTCTTGTTGTCCTTTTCCTTCTTTTCCTTGTTCTTCTGCTTCATGTAGCGGAAGAGATCACGCTTGTACTTCTTGTCGGCGTTTTCTCCATCCTTGTCACCGTTGTCATAGACATCCTTGTCACCGTTGTCATAGCCATCCTTGTCGCCGTTGTCATAGCCATCCTTGTCGCCGTTGTCATAGCCATCCTTGTCGCCGTTGTCATAGCCATCCTTGTCGCCGTTGTCATAGCTATCCTTGTCGCCGTTGTCATAGCCATCCTTGTCGCCGTTGTCATAGCCATCCTTGTCGCCGTTGTCATAGCCATCCTTGTCGCCGTTGTCATAGCCATCCTTGTCGCCGTTGTCATAGCCATCCTTGTTGCCGTTGTCATAGCTATCCTTGTCGCCGTTGTCATAGCCATCCTTGTCGCCGTTGTCATAGCCATCCTTGTCGCCGTTGTCATAGCCATCCTTGTCGCCGTTGTCATAGCCATCCTTGTCGCCGTTGTCATAGCCATCCTTGTCACCGTTGTCATAGCCATCCTTGCCATTGTACTCATCATCACTGACGTATTGTTCCTTGACTACAACATCGCCCTTCTTGTCATCATCACGGTGATCATCCTTGTAATCTTCGTCGACGTTGGCGTAAATGACGACACTGTCGGCGTATTCTGAATCCTTGCCCTTGGCGGGGAACACGATGACCAAGTTCTTGTTGGGGTCGGTTGGGAAATCAACAAACTTGGTACCGAAAAAGGTGGTCTCGAGCTTGGTGGTGTCTTCCTTCTTGTTATGGTCGACGTCGTCACCACGGCGAGCGAACTGGATAGGGGAAGCTTGAACAGCGGAAAGAGCGGCCAAGGCAACGGCGGAGAGACCAATGTTGAAGCGCATGTTGTTGTGGCGAAATTGGAGTGATGTGGAGAAG